AGATAGGACCGCTGCGGGGGAGGGTGGGTGGGTGCGGACTTTCGCGCGCGACTACCGCGGGTCGTCCTGAACGGGCCGGTGGAGGGTGTACAGATCGGACCGCTGCGGGGGAGGTTGGGTGCGGACCTTCGCGCGCGACTACCGGTGGTCGTCATGATCGGGGGGGTGGAGAGGGGTGGTGCCGAGGGTATACCGACTGTCGGAGGAGGGGGTACCGACCGCTGAAGGGCCCTATTCGGTCGGTAAAAAAAAAAAACAACGCCTACCGGCCGCTGCTATTCGATCGGTTAAAAAAAAAACAGCGCCAACTGCGCCAACTGGCCTTCCTACTCGGTCGGTAAAACAGATCCAAGTGAGCCAGAAACAGCTATTCTCATCTACTTCTAACGTTCTGTATTCATCTCGTTACGAGACATCTTTCGCGTCCTCGCGACTACTTCGCGAGTGATTGTCGGTCTTCATTTAATCATATTTGTAATTTTGAACGTTGTGATCGTCGACTTAAATCGTGTTGCGTCTTGTAACCGCGGTTGCGCGTGGCACAAGAAAAGGAAGAACATCATCACGCCCCTCATTGTGAAGGACAGATTGCCATTCTGTCGCGACAGCAGAATAAACCATTGCACAACCGCAGCTCGATTTCAAAGAATTTCCCTCACCACACCGATCCTTCCTTGCATTCCGTGCCCTGCACTGGGCAGATCCAGCGGAGCATTGCACGCGAGAAACTGAGTGCATTCGCTCACAAACACATTTGCATTGAAATTTATTTTCCCATGCATTTATTGCTATTATTAACCCGGAAAAAATGATTTATATGATTATATATAATTATATAAAATCATATATGAATTTTGAATATATATATATTAACACGTTAACTGCCACGTCAGTCACCAGTGACTGAACTTTCCGTTTGGACCGCGTCAGTCACCGGTGACTGACAGTATAAAATACGATATAAAACTAAAAAAATTACAGTTTTAATCAATTTTAAGTAATTTCAGGATCGTATCATTAATGTAAAATATTTATTATCTTAAATATTTCTTATCAAAAAATTTTAATAGATTTTATTGAATCTTTATTGCGCTTGGCATTACTATACCACAATACCACAATACCAGCGCACTTCTAAGCAGCGCGCGTAGCCTGACGGAGATTTCCTCCGAAATGCGCGTGACAGTTAACGTGTTAATACTTTATCGACCGCTAGCGGTTCAACACATACGCACGTCCGACCGGCCGCTCGGCCGCAAATCCTCCCTGGTGCCGGCTCTGTTTCGGTTTAGACTGTCGCGCGGGAGTATTTGTGCTTTTCGTATGCTCAGATAAAATTGCCCGCTTTCCGTTATTATAGGATAATTAGATTTAATAAGTTCTTTTATTTTGATGATATTAATGATATTAATGCTAAATTATATTTATTTTATCTATTACAACGGTTTTCAGTTAAATAGTTATATAATATACCATAATCTATATATTGACATACTTCAAATAAAAAATAGTTTAATATTTTTTTAAAGTACGATATCGTTCAAAACAGTCGCCTTTGTGTAGTAGAACATTGCAAAATTTACAGACAAAATATTTTCTACTTCTTTTTTTTGAACTGCACAAACTCTACATTGTCTTTGAGGTTGTACACTTCGCCCGCTGGTCACTATATTTATAAGTTTATGTTTTCCGAAATTCGACAGTCTTCCGGGATGGTCTAATCTGGATGTTCTTCTTGTGGGTTCAGAATTAGGTAGATCGTCATCTTGTTCTGTATAATTAGTTTCACAATCTTCTATCCACGAAACTGCCACTTTGTGCAGGAAATTCTTGTACGTAATATTTTTTCCGTTGAGAACTGTGTATACTTTAAATGTATTGAAAAGTGTACAGTTGATAAAAAACATTACAACTCGTTTAGTCCATTTTTTTTGTTTTTCTAAAAATGGAATAATACGATAGATATTGGTCTGCGCGATTTACGCCCTTCATATATTTGTTATAATTTACGATTGAATTAGGCTGCTGTATGGGACCGTTTGATCTTTTACTTCTGTTTCCGGATTCCGTTAATTGTGCAGAATGTATAGTTAAGATCATATTGACGTTTCTTTTGCCATTATTCCATATTTCCAACAAAATTTGATGATTTCTGACAAATGATGACAAAAAGCCGATTAATAGGCTATCGATCGGTAAGCGTTGGCGACAAAAAGCCGATTAATAGGCTAGTGGTCGGTAAAGTGTTAAAATGAAAAAAAATGATGTTTTCATTTAATTTGTGACGGCCGCACCAAATAAAAATAATTTTTTTAAGAGAATGGTAAGAAAGAGATTTACACCGAATGATAAAAGGGGAATTGAACATATCCACTAGGTACAGATAACAGGAGCAAGATTGAAGCACAAAATAAAATTAATCTTAAGTTAATCAATTAACTAAATTTTAAGATCGTTAATTAAGAATTATTTAATTATTAAAGTATAGTTTATTGTAAGAAAGATGATAAGACGATTCTTCGAAATCATAAAAGTCATCGATGGAAGCAACTTGACGCCACGTGCAGGAAATCACCGGATACCGCTCTTATAAACAAAACGAGCCGACGCGTCCCGGGCCGAGCATATCATCTCTAGACGCACCAAGAGGCGCCAGAACGACAATTAAAAATCTACGCTACTCTGCATACCTATTTCCCCCACCACTTAGGGAAGACGCCGTGGATGCGGTCATTACTTGCCTGCAGTGGCTTTTTGAGTGTCTAACTATGCAAACGTATCTTCTCTGACTCAATTTCACTGTATCGTTCTGTGCTTCCTTAATAAGATTACCAAAGAGCATTCTATATAACGATTACAAAACACCATATTATAAGAAACCTTATTGTAAAGGAAATATATATATATATATATATATATATATATATATATACAAAATTAAACCAAGTGAGTAAGTTATATTATTCACACGATAGATCACCTCCTCCAACATCCCCGTAAACCCGGTGAATGCAGGGTGACGAAAAATAAAGGAGGCATTTCAAATTTTCGCGCTAACTGTTAATAGTACAGAAATTTTTACACTCGTTCAATATCTAGAGGTAACAATAGGCTATCGGTCGGTAAGCGTTGGCGACAAAAAGCCGATTAATAGGCTAGCGGTCGGTAAAGTGTTAAAATGAAAAATAATGATGTTTTCATTTAATTAAATGTCGATACCATGTGTTGTCTGAAATACTAGTAGCCAGTATTTACCTTAATTATATTTGCATATAATTTATAAACAACAGTATTTTTTCGTTGTGGATACATATGATTATCTATATGTCTATATATACTGGATGTCCTATTTTAAAGGACGCCCTCAAATATTTCTTGAACAATGAATTTCAGAGAAAAATGTTTCACACAAAATATTATATGGTTTTAGGGGAACATAAGGTGGTGTCATTGGTTTGATCTTTGATATTCTTTAAAAATCATATGAAGGTTATCTTCAATTTATGAAATAGTAACTTCTAATTTTTATTGTACATTCTTGTAGCTTACTTTGAAAGCCTGTCAAAACACTATATTAAAATTTTTTTTTTTTTTACATATTTTATCTCTGTGAACACCCCCCCCCCACACACACACACACGACGCACGCACGCACGCACACACACGCACACACACGCGCGCGCGCGCGCACACACGCGCATACACGCACGCACGCACGCACGCACGCACACACACACACGCACGCACACACACACTGGGGGAGAGAGAGAGAGAGAGAGAGAGAGAGAGAGAGAGAGAGAGAGAGAGAGAGAGCAGCAGAGAAGATTTTGAGTCAGAAAATATTACAGGAGTGAGGAGCTGTGAGATCTTTATGCCTACCTTGGGTAGTGTTAATGCCGGCGGTACTGCAACATTCACATGTTATAACTCGAAAAGTACTTAATGGAAAAATATTGTGTTATAGTGCTTTGAAAAGCTTTCGAGGTAAGCTACAAGTGTATGCAATAAAAAGTGGGAGTTTCTATTTAAAAAATTGAAGTTGACCTTTATCCCAAGCAGCACGTAAACGTTCGAGGAACGTTCGCTTTACGTTCACTTGCTTTGTCTGTCTATATGTTGTTCCTCCGATCTATATATATTACATATATGTGTATATATCTTCATCTGCGCCCGAACCCATAAAAAAACATATACATATATATGTACTTATAAATATATATATATATATATATATATATAATTGTTCGCGACTGCGATAAGACGGTACTCGGTTTCTCGTCGAGAAGTATTCTTTTTCTCGTTCCTTCTTGTTCCGAAGTTTAGAAGCGCAAATCGCCATTTTACTATATATATAATATATTAGTATTATATGCAATATATAAATATATTGTGTATATATTATATATATTATAATATATATAATAAATAAATATAACTGGGCGTGTATACGCATGTACGCATGAAGACGACGTGTCAAGATGAGGCGCGAGTAGCCGTTAGCCGCGGGCGCGAACAATCGAACATCTTTGTTATCATTGTTGCCAGCATCAAGTAATACGATTAATTAACAGAAATTAATAATTGCACTATATTAGCATGATAACGAACAATAATGTATGTCGTCGCTCCTATTCTGTAAATAAAACATTGTACTGTCTACGAACATTGGGTACTTCTTTGAGAGAGACACACGACGTTATGGCGTGGTCTCACCGTCTCTATTGTCTCGGAGGAGTTTCACGGGAGTCGCAAAGACAAACACGGAAATAACGAGGGAAGATGATTATCTGGCTTTATTCGTACTAAATCTTACATCTCGATTTTACATAGCACGATAGCGCCCTCGGGATACATCACCGTAGGTATGTGTATATGTGCACGCGCGACACACACACAGGTAAAATACAAAGCAGCAAATACAAAATTCGAAGACTGTATTCAGCGCTGCAGAAGACAACGAACGAATTCACGGAAGTTCCTCCCGCTCTGTCGCATTCGACGGCAATTTCGTCACTTCGTAAAATTTCGTGCTCGCCTTCTTTCTCTCCCGTTTTTATATATATCGTTTTATATAATACACTTTATAAAACGCTATCGAAAATATATTAGCCCTTTTCTGTGAAGACGCGCAAAGTATTTTGTGCGCAACGAGATCGGGCACCTCGCACAATGCTACCTCGAATGCCGTCTAATGGAAACGAACAAACGGGACATTCCTCACCGTAGATTCCTCACACGCGCGTTAAAATGACGTTGTAGAAAATTGCATCTCGGCGTATAATAATAATTCCATGGACAACGCGTGACTAAAATGGCAATGATATATTTTGCGGGAATGATTGGCGTCATGCTGTAAAATAATCACGAACCGGTGCGCACTTGAAGTTTTATTCTTATTCCGGATTTATAACTCCAGTTGAAACGCAATTATAATTTGGAAATGTTTATGTAGTTCGCACACGTCTCGACATAATCGTTAGGGATCGTGCGAAATATATTGCAAACTATGCAAATAATTCTTCCCTGCGTTTTATAGTATAAATTTCCATATAAACAAAGAATATTTCACAAGCAACTTTTATCTTTTTGCTATGTGTAAATGTATGTTGAAGAAAAAGTGATCATATTTAATTACATATAATTTTATATAATTATATATGTAAAATAATTATATATAAAATATAATCCTCTTTTGCTCAAGTGTGTTGTGTGTGCGTGTACGATTGGCTATCTTACGTAAACGCGATATTATAAATTACTCTTAAGAAAAGGCTTGAGGTATTTGTGGAAGGATTGGTTCACGTTCTCCTGATTCAACGGGCTCTTCATCGCCTCATCGAAGAGACGCTCGTACACATTGCCGTCGTACGCGCCAAGCGCGGACGCAAGGATCTCGTCTCGAATATCAAATCCATCAACGATACCGACGGCGTTTGGACGGATCGCGGCGAGCATCTCCTCGAAGCGCGCCTGCAATACTGGTACGTCTTCAATATTCAGACAGGAAAACTGCAATCATGGAAAAAACATTGTGTTATAAATTATTACTACTAATTAATTAATCAAACGGAAAAACAAAATATTCCTCTGACAAATGATGAAGATACATTATACCTATGTGGTCGCATAAAGAGAAAAGTATAAAGTTAAAAAGCAGGAAACATTTTTTTCGGTAGGATGATTTCTTTCTGAGATATTAGTCTGGGGCGATCAATCGCCTTGAATTTCCCATAAAGCGAATCGCGGCAAAATTATGCACGTTAAATCGACGATCTTGGTCCCTCCGCGAAAGAAAATGTGCTACTCACTCGCAGAAAGTCACCGAGTCGCTGTAGGACCCAGTATATCGAGTACAATTCACATAGCTGCATAAAAACCTGATGACATTCCTTGGACAAGGATGTCAAGTTCCTGGCAGTTTCGACGAATCGCATTACTATGAAAGCTCGACAATGGGAATCGGCGCAGTGCGCCAATTCAATGCTGGTCTGATTCCATGCGTCCTCCGGCGATACGCCGCTACGTATTCTGCGATCCATGTTCTCCGTCGCCAGACGAATCTTGCTATAAACAGATTCCCGATATTGTAAGCCACGATACTACATACATTTACCTCGCACATGTTAGAATTGCATCAATCTAATATTTCGCGAATGTAAACTTTTTATATGTATACAATCAAAAACTATTAATTTTTTAAAGGCGGCAGTCGATTTGAACCGCGCAATTCAGATTGGCGCGAGCTAATTTGAATTAAAAAAAAAATCAGGTTAAAATTGCATCGTGTGCAACCGTATATACAGAGTCAGAATATGAAATAAACTATATGTCTAATAAAAGGATAATGGTATTTACTTCTACCATCTCATATATATTTCATATCTTATATGTTATTTAATGTAAGTATTCTTAATAAACTGATACAACAGCAATCTTAATTATGCATGGATTGCTTTGCCCAAAATATCACGAATAATATATGTATATATTTGATTATTTTATAATCTTATTATATACCTCATTATATAATCTTATTATAACCTCATTATATAATCACATTATATTAAGATATATATATATATTTTTTATTTGTACAATATATACTAATATAAATAAATAAAAATATTTAAAATATATATATAATATATAAAATATTTAAAAAATATATATATAATATATATTATATATATATTATATTATATATATTATATATTTAAAAAAATATATATATATAATATATATATTTTTTTATATTTTTATTTATTTATATTAGTATATATTGTACAAAAGATATTTTGTTGTTTTCATTCAATATCTCCATGAAATTTTCATATCTTTCACAAAATTATTCCTATTTCACTTATTAAAATCGTCATTCATTATATGAGTGATACGGCAGTTTAAGACTGGTATTCATGGTCGCATTTCATATTTAAGTTTTAAGTTTATCTTCAGATGTTTCCTAGCCAATGAAACGAGCCGGAGAGCATCTGAAGATAAACTTAAGATCTAAAGGTCTTAAATATAAGATCCGATTATGAATACCGGCCTAAGTGTAAACACGTTCGATCGTTCATAAAACATTTACCCAGCAGCGACCGCTTGATGCGCAGTCACAATACACGCCAACGTATTATTCCAAGGGTGTAACTTCATTCTGCGCGAGAGGACGCCCAGATACTCCACAGTCAGCGGCAATCGTTGACCGCTGACGGCCTGCTTCCAAGCTTTCACTAGATAACGGGCAGTTTGCAACAGCAAAACCGTGTTTTCACCTTCGTAAGTGCAAGTGGCGGTCACTAAACCGTAAGTCGCTGGCAGGTTGCTCGCATCCATGTAACCGTGGCCACCACATGCCAGCCGCAATTGCTCGATGCCAGTAGCCGCGTCTGACGACGCGACGGCCTTCAAGCAGCACGCCAAAGCGTGTAACTAAAAAGAGATTCATTTGTAATTATTTTACGAGCAAGATCTTGAATGGTCAATTCATATTACGAAATCTGCGAGAGCAATTTTCCACCTATTTCGCGATATAATTTCTATTTGATAGCGTGTGTAGTTTTTACCAAAATTATATGCCGATTCTCTAACTTTTAACGACAATGTCGTTACGCCGTCGTTAAAATATAAATATAATTACGTTATCGTTTTATTACCAAAAAAAAAAATATATAACGTTACCAAATCGTTACTGAAAAAAATAAACTTGTAGCGGTAGTAGCGTTACAAGTAGCGCATCACTTCCATATTAATAAGTTCTTAATCTTAGTCTCCACACACCTCAGGAAGTCTTTCCAGTTCTCCCTGATCCAACTCGGCCGTAACATTGTTGTACATCTCCCAGATCCAGTCAGCCGAAATCCGGAACGCGTAGCACGCAGCAAGATTGGGGAACAGTTTGTATTGTTGTGTCACATAATCCATAATTTGCGGCTCCGGCTCACTGAAATTAATCGATTAAAGGAGACACTCGTCGCATAAACGCGTTGTAGATATACAATGCTATAGCGGAAAGCTCATAATCGACAAATTCCTATTCAAATTGATTCGCATAATAAAACGAACATATACATTCTCCTGAAATAGCGAGGTCACAAGAGCGAAAAGCGAAAAGATAGCTAAGGTAAATATAAATAACTCGCCGCGTTTAGAATTTCAAATATTAACTAAATCGCGAATTATTATACATGAGGCAAAGTGTTTTTCACTGGAAACAAGTGAGAATTTTCGATTGCCGGCGATTTTTCCTCATTTCTTCTTTACAAAGCAATGCGTTCTACGTACTCGGGTTTTATTTGGCTCTGTCGCCTCACAGCGCTGTATCTAATCGCTATCGTTACCGCCTTCGACAAGTAGCTGGCGATGTCGCGCACCAGTAACACGCGCACAAACATCATCGTACCATATGTGAGTTTGTCGCTGGGCGCTTTCACGTACGTACCGTCTTCGAGTACCTGGAAGAAAGAAGCAAAACAAATAATTAATAAAAAGAAATCAGAGAAAAAACTCACTCGTGAGATTCCCTCTCCCCGACCCCGTCCATTTGTTTGAACGGACGATTCCACATTTTGCTTTCTCCGTTACCTGGGAGTTCTTCATCAGCATATTCTCGCGCGGTATTCTGACGTTGTCGAAACCGAGAAAGCCATTGTTGGTAGCGTTCATTCCTAACTTGGTGCCGATTTCACCGATCTTAATACCTGAAAGTGAAGGTGAACCTTTTCTTACAATGATTCTCCTCTCGCGTAAACGATACTTACACCGACACTTGCTATGAAATGCGATGACCACGCGCTTTCGAGTTCGTTTGCGTACCTGGTAAAGGCTCGTGAGTATTCTCATCCCTGAGCTGCACAACGAATGGATGTATGCCTCTGCATTCTCCCTTTGTATACAACTGCGCCACCACTACCGCATAATTTGCTGTTTGACCCACTGAAAGCACATGTTTCTTCTGTAAGCCAAGAGTTAGCTTTTAATTTTGGATTAATGGTAATTGAAAAATATAAAAGAAGTCATGTTCAATTTAAAAGAAAATAATAATAATAATAAATAACATAAAATATATAATAAAAATAATATAATAATAATAATAATAATAATAATAATAATAATAATAATAAGTAAATTTTTTCTCTGTTTTTCAGGAAATCTCTAAGAAAAAAAGTTATAAAGTGTAAGCTTTTAAAAAAGGAACTCAAAATCTAAAATTCTTTTTGGTTGAAAAATGTCTATTATTTGAATTCATTTAATTATTTAATTTATTGAATTATTCAACTTATTTAATTATATTGTGTAAATTATTTAATTATTCGTAACTTAATTCGTATTAATTTACTTTTTGATTTAACTAAATTCATTTTTTACATAAATTGAAATTTAACAGATAATAATTATCGAGCAAAGTCTTAATAAATAAGCCAATATTCTTTGGAACATGAGATAATAAAATTATGTCCTGTGGACTTCGATGATATATTAAGGATTTAAGGTCAAACCAATTGAAAGCATATACTCACAACCACCGGGCCACCATTTGTACGACGTCAAAGTGGGGCTGTTCAATACGAACTCTTTGGTCCCCGGATCGTAAGTCGCCGTAGTCTCTAGACCTCTAATGAACGTGCCATGACCGAGCTCCGTCTGAGAACACGCACACATAGCTATAAGTTAAATACGTCGAATAAGTAATTAATAAGTAATTCGGCCTTTCCAAACTGGACTATACATGAATAGATTTTTATTTCGAGCGAATAGACAATATACCTGTGCATAAGTACCAATGATGTTGCAACTCCAAGCACGGGATATCCAGTAGCCTTGCTGTTCAACGGTGCCCTGTCCCATGATAGCCGGTATGAACATCACATAGTGCAATGTTAATGGGTTTCCGTCTTTCAGTATTGCCGAGCCTAACATGCCTCCTAAAATTTGTCTACGGAACACCGCAAACATGATTACATCAGATGAAATACTTGGGAAACGCTTAACGTCCGATAGTTTTTTTTTTCATTCTATTTTTAAATACTTATATATTTTATATATTTTTTATTTTATATACGAAATGGTCAATTTTAAATAACCCATATTTATTTTGCCAAAAGCGTTGATTCAACAAAAAAGTTCTATAAATTAAAATTATAAGATTTCAAGAGAAATATATAGGATGATAATATTATGATATCATTAAACATTTTTCTTAAAAATTATTTTAAAATCATCTTCAATTTCTTAAGGGGGAAGTCTACTGTAAAATTTTCAAAAAATCAATTTTTTGTTTATTGGCTTAAAAAATACTTTGAACCCTCTAAAATAAGGTACATTAGGTGTTATAGCCGGCTAAATTTTTCTTCATTGAAATTTCGACCTTTTACCGAAGCGCTCCGAAACGCGTACCTGCGGCAAATTCCTATCTGTTCGGCGGATACAGCGTAGTGACTTGCAATTCAATTTCTAACATTTCTAATACTCCAAGTCGATCAACAGATGTCATTAGGTATATTTTATAGTCAGTTAGAAGCGATTTCAACAGATGATCTGGTCGTTAGCTCCGAAACAAACATTCAGCGGCGCAAAAACCGTCGATATTGCGTCGTATTGTGCTGCGAGCATTTTCAATGAAGGCTACTCCAGTATCCTCAAAATGATGGACGTTATGAACATCAAAATTGGACCAAACGCCTTCAATTTATGCAACACCGTGGACGAGCGCAGAATATCACAAGCAAACGAACGGTCGTTCGACGCTTCAAAAGAAGGGAGAATCGAAAGAAGAACGGCACGATCGGCACTCGAAGAGGATTTCCTTGAAGAAGAAGGTGTACTATATGAAGCAGGAATGGGCGATTAATGGTAAGAAGCTTAAAAATGAATTTTTCAATAAAAAAACTAATGCCGAAACTTTAAACGCGTTTTTCTCGAAACTAAGTTTTTCAATACGGTGTACACGATATCTCGAGTTTTAATGAATAAATCGACTTGAAATTTTAACCACATATTCTCTGGAATAGTGTCTCTCGTCTGGCGGAGCATTTTTTTGATATCGTTTTTTGTGTAATTGTTATAAACAATAATAATATCAAATTTGGGCAAAAAAATAGAAAAAAATTTCAAGAATTTTTTTTTCGGCGCCAAAATTTTTTATCGACAAAATCCTCCGTCAGACGAGAGTCAATACTATGTAGATGATAACCATATTTTGTTTTTTGTTTCAGATCACCCAGACGTGAGATTTCATGTACACCGTTTGGGCACCAAAAAAAACGGACCTGCACTTGAAGGAGTGCCACGACGGCAATTTTGAATATTTCGACTTGAAAATTTTTTTACAAATACTTGAATATATAATAAAGATGACGGTTTAATTTAATTTAATGTACGAGTCATATTTTGTTAGAAAAAAAATTCGGAAAATCGGCCTGTTTTTTCCCTTGTCACAGTAGACTTCCCCCTTAAAGGAAATCAAACAGTTTCTTTAATATAAATTGATTCTTCTAGTCTTACTGCATATAAAAGTATTAACAAGGAGACTTCATGAATTAGGCATGCAGATCTGAACTAAACTTGAACAGGTTGTAGGCTGGAAGAGGATGGGGAGGAGAGTATAAATGTAAAATATCAGGTCTAGATAATTCAAAAGTTATTAACGAAAAAAATTTCAGCGTCGCACATATGCCAATGTAACAAAATAACATCTCAAAACGACACGATAGGATGACTACCTGCAAAGACGTAAGTCTGCGTCCGATCCCTTGTATTCCCATTCTTTTTCCAAGTTTTCTTTTCTTCCTTTTAAAATAAAAATAATAATTTTTGCCTTAAATAATGAGAGTGAATTAGGCCCACCGAAAAAATTACTATAAAAAAAACGCACTATGCTATCTACCACAAAGTGATGTGGAAACGATAACGCGCTGCCACGATAAACATTAGGAAAAGACGAAATTATCTTTCGATATGTGGACTAAATTATCTATCGACATGCGTTCTGTATCGCAAGTCACGTTAATTTTACATATACATATACAATTTTACATATCTATTTAGCAGAAACGATTTTGTTTTGACATTGGGATATCTTGCGCGTATGTAAATATGTGTTAATATATTATGCGTCGCTATATTTCATAGATACGGACGGAGTAATACGACGAGCCGCGTTCATGTTCACGAATGTTTCATGGTCACGCTTCGAACGAAACAATTTTTTTTCTACAAGTTCGGCCTATTGTTTCCCGTGCATTTATTAACTTACAAAGGACATTCGGCAACGCGTAAATTCAATACGGCAATGAAAGCGTTCAAAAATCTGGTACTTGAGGTATCTCCAGAAAAATGGACAAAATGCTTCGACGATTGGTTTCATCGAATAGAAAAGTATATTAACCCTTTGCACTCGAGGGCTCTGGAGCGGAGCCCTCGAGTGCAAAGGGTTAATTGTAACGAAAAGTATTTTGAGAAACAATAAAACCAATTTCAGAAATTAACTATATGTTTTTATATGATGTTGCGGACACTTTCGGAACAACATTCGTGCTGCTGATATCTTACGAGAAAACATCCATGCCGCCTTTTCCCGATTCTTGCAGCTGTTGCACCTTCTCGATCACTCTACATCCTTTCATTATCGCTTCTTCGTAGATCTCCTTGTGACTCTTATACTTCGCCGGTATCTCGTCGCGCAACACCGGGTCACTGAGGAAGAAGTTCTCTGCAAATAATTAATTCATAAGTTCGCTAAACACATTAACTTATGTAGTAGTACACATTTATACATAGAAAAAATAAATTTTTTGAATTAAATAAAATTTCTTGGGATAAAACAAATAAACGAATATTTGATTCAACAAACAGGATTGTTTGGTTTCTTAAACGCCGATATTTGTAACTATAACACCATATCTATATACAACGTAGTAAAAAAATTATATAATGAGAAAAACTATTTTTGTATATAATGTCTAAGTGTACTATAATGTCAGTAGTAATAACTTTACATAACTTTACATGTTGCTACTACTATTTTTGTAATTAAAATAAAAAAAAAGATATAGTTAAGAATGAAAAATAATTATAATTCTGTATCAATGTAGAATTTTACTGGGATTTCTTTAAATATATGAAATTATATCTGTACAGCGCATTTTATCCGAGGGATATTCTGCGGACGTTCCGTGGACGTCCTTAGAATGTAGGGATGTCCTCAAGACGTCTTTAGAATGTCTATATGAATATCGTTGTGTATGGATTTTTTTAAGATCAACAGGAAATATACACGGACATAGGAATCTTCGATATTACAATTATTGGGTTGTAATCGATACGATTGCAGATGTTATTCTCAGCGCGAAGGACAAATTCGCGATTATATTTCTGAGAGTCATTCGCGCGTTTTCCAATAACTGCTCAGTCATCAATAAAGACAAGAACAAAGACCGATACGTCTAATCTTTCACATTGAACATTGAACCAATTGACGCAGATATCTGCGTCAATATTAGGTGGGTTTCATGTTTTTTCCTTCATGTTGCTAATTTTTTAAAGTGAGATCTCTTACTCGAAACAAATGGAAATGTACTCAAAGCGGCAATGAAAATACTTCGTAATTATAAAAATAATGTTCAATTCAAATTTAAGATGATTTTTACCAAATTAAAAATTATAAAAAAGACTAATATGTAACACTAAAATATATTTATATATAATAATTATTATTATTCGGATCGCTGGTGCAAATTCCGCTGCTATTTGAATTTCCGTTAGAGCATGGATTAATATGTTGGGCGCCAAGTGCGAAATCTTCGCGTGCACTAAATTCCGTACGAGTGGTCTAGTCATAGCTTTCTGCGACATTAAGATGCTATTCGTAAAAATCTCAGCCTTACGGCGCACAATGGATCGCACCTATGTAAAGTGCGGACATGGATTAAAAATTTTTTCCTTCGATGAAACATATGATCACGTGTTATTCATTTATATTTTACGTGTAAATTCTTATGTCAGGATCATAGCTAGGACTATAGGGCGCGTCAAGCTGCCGAAAAATTAGAATATCGCGATAAAAAAGTTTCCTGTTTGCTTTAATTAGTAAATTATGTTAATCGCTATGTTTTAAAGAAAAACGAAACCAATACAATAATAAAGTTTTTGTAAATTGTAAATAAATTTCTTTTTTTATCGTTTTCAAGAAAAAAAAGACCAATTTTTGCCAGCCTTCCTCCAGAAAATACCGGCCTTCACTAGTGACTTTATTCAAAAAATCTGAAATTTTACCAACTTCGTCTGAGTAAATCATTCATTATTACAATTCCAAGCGGCAGTATTTTAATTGCCACTTCGAATGACTCACTTTTTCATTCGTTTTGAACGAGATTTCAGATCGTATAGAGTTAAAATGCACCCTAAGCTTGAGTAAGACACTTGCTCTTGCGATTTTAAGTATTTTCACTATCGCTTCGAGTGAAAATGCTACTTTTCATTCGTTTTGAGTGAAATTTCATTTCAAGAAATCTAGAAAATGTCATATAATATCGCCTGGCGAGTAATTTAGACGAGATTATCATTGTTAGAAATACTCACATCTATTGATACGAAATTGATGTTGTATAACATGAAGGAATTTTGTATTATACCAATATGTATTAAATCGCGAAGATCACGCGATCGTTATTATTAATATTAATATTATTCGCGAATGTATGTTAATTAAATTACGACCGAGTCGCAAGTACAGTTTCATCGTGAGCGCTTAATCACTCTGTGACTCAATTTCCATTAATCCAGGTAATAGTAAGGCAATCAGCATCAGCGTCAGTTACTTTGCCGCGATAGTTACTTTGCCGGATAAAAGTTGCTGATCAACGCAACGTTAATAATCCGTATCAAATAAACGACACACCTGCTCGACTTTGGGTCGTCATCGTCGTACTGCCACATACATAACACACGTGGAAATTACGAGATATATCGAAAGGATTGTAGCGCCGAGAGTTCGATAAATTATAAAAAAGAGAAAATAACATTTACATAAACGAAGAAACGTTTTTTTTGTAAAATACCGACTGCTATAGATTGTTATGACGTAGCGCGGCAACGACATTTTATCGCCAATGAATTTATATTTTATCTTGGGCAAGATGTTCAATATGTTATCTAAGCTGCAGAAAAAGTAATTTCGAAGCTGCCACATGAATGCTCGAAAAGAAAATATCTTTCTCCGACACAATTTTCTCGGACCTTTAATAATTACATTTGAGACTTTCGCGGTATGAACTTTCGGAATGTATGATAAGCAGCATATGAGGCATTGCATACTTTTCGCGTTCCAGCTAAAAAGTGCTAGCGAGGCTAAAGAAATGATTTGTTCAGCCTTAACGGAAGATATTGTGTCTTACAGCACATGTAAGAAGTGGTTCCAGAGGTTCATGCATGACCTGCTGCATGATAACACAAGGTTACACACGGCGAAAACCACAAAGAACGTTATATTCATTGGATTGGGAAGTTCTCCCTTACGTGACTTAAATTCCAGACTTAGCTGCTTTGGATTAACGTCTGTGAAGTTGGCCCCTTTTCAAAAATTTTTCAAGAACCTTTACTTTTCCCCACTTTTCACTTAAAAAAAATAAGTAGAGTTTTGGTAGCCCCCCAAAATAAGGAAAAGTGAATTGTTTCTAAATAAATAAGAAGCGAGGAAAGTGAGTTTCTCCCATACTTGATTAGTTGACATTTGTCATTTTAAATATACATTTGTAACTAATAATTTGCAGTTTGACTGTATATATAATTAACTCACATGTGTCGAACAGATCGACGAAATATAGCAAATTTTTCGGAAACGAGCGACAATACACAAATAAAAATTTATCGCAAACATAACGTAAAAAAAAATGAGAAAATGAACACAATTTTCCGCTTCTTATGCCTTGATTTTATAACACTTATGGTTACAATAACCGTTGATTAATCCTAGTCGTAAAAATATATTATTGTTTCTATTAACCTTGAACTGTGACGTAAAGAAACAAGATAAGTAGAAACTGACAAGAAAGTTACTTATAAGTGTTCCTCCTTGATCAATCGAACTATAAGAAGCGTCATAGAACTGGGGATACATAATTACGAGACAAAACAACACGATCGAAGATAAAGATCTAATTGACAGTGTGAGACAATTGACAGAGCAAGTTAATGAAGTTCTCGCTCGGTAGAAATACAAATTATACTATAAATTGATCTCAATTTACAACGTATTACTCAAATTTATATGATCGCTATTTATGTAAAATACAGAAAAAAGATAAATATTTTATTAAATTGCATAAAGGAAGGAGGAAATTAAAAGAGATATATACATATATATTCTTATACAATTTAATATTTACCTTGTCATTTCTTCTTATAATTTATTATTTTTTTCGTTATACTCCTATAATTTTTATTTTTATATATAATAAAAAAGATATCTTTTGTTAAGCGATTGACATGGAATATTGTCTTCAGTGAACACACGCATACACACAAGGGGAGGAGAAAAGGAAGAGAACGATTCTACTGTAACTGGCTGCCCAGAGAAGATTGAAAGAAAATAACGCACGATAATACAGTGTGCGACTTTCGCATTCGCAGCTTCTGCTGCAAGTAGTAATGGAGGACGCGGCAAAAAAGTATAATTGCCTATTTATGACGCGTTCAGTTGTTTATCTTCAAACTCAGAGCAGCCCTCAGCACTTGGCTTTAGCACACATCTTTTTGCTACTTTAAACGATCATTTTTTGCCGGTGCGAACGATCAATTGTGCGACACCGATCACACGCGTGCATTTACTCGTCCGATAACCGTAGGAAAATTACACCGTATTATTTATCCTTCTTAACTAAACTCCTCGTATATCAAACTAACAATGTAGCGCAGCATTGAACAAAGCGTATTCGTGAATGGCGAATGACGATATCGGACACACTAAGAGAGAGAGAGAGAGAGAGAGAGATAATGTGAACAATAATATATTATAAAAAATAATTATATCACTTTTCCCCGATGTATATGGCATTTCTTCACTGTTTCCATCTTCTGCTTTTAACTTTTTTGGATATATAATATTATCTTCGTTATTTGTAATCTCTTCCTAACGGAACATGTAAATTATGAGAATATTCGAAAAATATCTCGATATTCTCCGAGCTTCCTCAGAATATACATATTCCGTTACAGTAATTTGTACAATTCAGGATGATTGTCTTTCTATTTATCCCAAAATTGTAATATATTACTTCTTCTATTCCTAATCCTCATCTGTTTAAAATCGTATACTTCAAGTTTATTTTCTATTTGTCGCGATAACTAATCGATGTTCTATTTTTCAGTGAGAACTAGAATTTTATCATGAAATGAAAAAAACGATTATTTAAAATCACAGAATAAGAACCGAAACAGTGAACCGAAAGAACCGCAAATCGAAACAAATGTAACGGTTCCGATTTCGATTTCGGTTCTGATTTCGGACTTTATAAAATTTCGGTACTCTTTACGGTTCCGGTTCGACAAAAATACCGGTTTTCATACGGTTTTCGATTTCAGATCCGATTCGGTTCGGGTCTCTGGAACATATACTAAGAAAAAAATATGCTAAATTTTAGTAAATACATTTACTAAATTTAGTAAATACATTTACTAAAATTAGATTTACTTAATTAAAAAAAATAATGTTCAATTATAAAAATAATTTACTAAATTTTAGTAAACTAAAGCATTAGAATTAGAAAATGATTTATCGTTGAAGGGTTCACTTCAATTAAATTCAAGTTTACGACATTACAGTGCAATATTTGTTAACCCTTATCGGTCGTAAGTCACCTCTCATGTGACAACAATACTTCGTCGCTGCGGTCGTACGTCACGTAGGAGGTGACAAGTTCGCATATTTACCGAAACCAGCTACAATTTAGTGAGAATCACGCATAAAAAGCTAGCGTCTGATAAGGGTTAAAATCTAATACGAGGGTGGTTTAACAAGTACAGTAGACTCCCGTATAACGTAGTTAATACGTTATGCGCTATATGAATTCACGTTATAGGAAATCGTGCTGTACGGGAATTTTTCTCGCATAACGTGTATAATCTAAAGTAACATGTTTGAAATGATTATTACTATGCCAACTTTTATTTTCTATATTTTATCAAATAGGAAAGTATTTTAAAAATAAGTGGCATATATATGCAGTTAAAAAAAACATATTATTAATGTATGTAAAAAATCTTTTATTTCATTGAAATTTAATAAAAATATAATTATACAAATTTATATATTATGTTTTTTAAATTTTTTTAATTGAAAAATACTTTTCGTTATATTAAAAGTGACCGCATCAAAAAACAAAACAACGATGAAACAGAAGAAGTCGGCGCGTTATACGAAGGGTCGCGTTATATGAAAACATAATAGTCGCAATACCTTTGGCGCGTTACAGAAGTTCGCGTTGTAAGAACTCTCGTTATACGAGAATCTAGTGTAACTTAGTTCGCATACTAATAGAGGGCGACAGCGAGATCAGTATATGTGATCATAAAGTGTCCTTCCTATGAATGAATATTCTATGGTTACAAGTCATTCCGACAGTAATTTGTTGTTTGACTAGAAACACTTCTATTTGAGTGATAGTGAAAAATAGATAAATTTGGAATTCGTGGTGTAACTCAATTCCTTTTCCTGGATGAGAAAATAGCGAAGGAAATTCATGAGAGAATTTTCCCTACATTGGGTGACTCATATCCTTCCCATGAAACCGTTCGTCGTTGGATAAATAAATTCAAGCGTGTCAGACCAAGCACCAAAGAAGAAAGATTTGTTACGTAACAGTTAATATTTTTTATATTTTAATAAACTTTTTATATTTTAATAAATATTGATTATATTGTAGAAAATATTTATTCATATTTAGTAAATAATTTAATTTAAAGAATTATTTTCGTTAAACAAGTAAATTGCTTATTTAAAAAAAAATGTATTCACAATTACACGTAAACGAACTGTTTACTAAAACTGAAAAAAAACTTTCTTTTTATTAGTAAGTTTTTTCTCTCCTCGTATATAGTGAAAATATATCTAATATATCTGATATACAAAATATAAGGGCAGGTTCTGCTTTTTTCAGATGTCTTACAGAAATTTATAATATGATATTTATTGAACTGGAGATTACTTGTTAAGAGAAATTGGCTACAGTGTTTCTGTAATAGATTTCTTTTAATATAACAGATTTATTCGATTTAATAATGTGATAGATTTATTCAATTCTTTCGACATGATAGATTTTTCTTGATACAATAAATTTCTTCTGAATATAGACTTAATAGGACTTTTCTTTTCGAGAATATGAGTTAAAGCAATTAACGATAAGCATATGTAATGCTATTGGTCAGTCGTGAGAACCGAGCGAATCACGTATATTACATATATATATATACATGCGGCGACGAAGGCTGCTGCAAAATGTGTTAATCACGGAACGAAGATAACACGAACCTCGTTCACGTCGCTGCAATGTCTTCTCGTGACTGCCGTCCCAGAAGTGCGTGAGCTCCATAGGGTCGAAGCTGCATCTTTCACGCTCTCGTCGAAGGTCTGGGTTCACCGGCCCCATGTTGCCGTCGAAGTCGCACAATTCAACTCGTCGTTCTAGTATGAACTGAGAGAACGCTTCACGTTAACTCCAACTGACCAATAGCTCGCCAAGTACCGCCAAGCGACCACCACTGGCGTCTTTATACAAGCGTGTGCGTGCACGTCACCCGTCAAGTGAACGTCACGAACACCGACGAGAACACGACTGAACTGACGTGCTCCGCTCGTTCTTACCGTCTCTCTCACTCTCGCTCGCTCACTCGCTCGGGTTCCTTGACAAACGTATATCCCAAAATATATATACATATATACGTGTGTATATCATATATATATATATATATGTGTGTATATATATATTTCAAAAGAGACATAACCAATTCGATGATGTTACCGAATTGTGTTCAACATATATGCGACAAAGATGGAAATGTATCCGAGCCTTTTTGCCTCGGTCTGCTCTCATGTGGGCCACAATCGTTCATGCGCTTGCGCATGACCACTAGAAGTAATCGTCTCGATTAAGACGGTAGAATTAAGGCCTTTCTTCTTCTCAGTTATGGTATGGACTCTAAAGCCTGTCTCTTACGCCAAAAGTCTAGCTAAAGGTGCTTTGCACGTTTCTTAGTCATTAATTCTTAAGCGGGGTCTATAATATGGTCAGAGTAAGAGAGAAATCTCGTCTCAGAACAACGATGCGGGAATATGTATTTTCCCCTCTATCTGTACGTATTTTGAACGTAATGCGCATGCGTCGGATTGATGTCTCCGCCAATAGAAAAAATTAAATATATCTTAGCACGCGCGCGCACGTGTGTGATCTAATCATCGCGTCTGCGCATTACGGTCAAAATACATATCAAATATACATCGTGTATCGTCTGCCCTTCCCTTCCGAAACAGCTTTTTTATAAGCAGCATAGGACTAGCTATACAGTAGTATTACATATATGGTTGGAAACGGGAAGAAGCAATCGCGTCCTTCCGAATGTACGAGTTGGTACTGACGACTCGTGTGCAAGAGACCAAAGTTCACCGAGCTTGTCTGGGATAGAACACACCAAACCGGTTCAAATTGATTTGCACGCATCTTTAACAGAGCCTCTCCACGCTCAGTTTCTGTTTACGGTATATCTTCGAACGTCACTACATCAATACATATCTTCAGTCACGACATAAGCAACGAGGGGGGTAGTTTTTTTTTAGGAAAATACAAAAGGATTTATTTAAAATAATAATATAAAAATACAAACATTGTCACATGTCTGATTAACACGTCGACCGACCACCATGCTGATTTCCATACGAATCGTTCCAAAATTCAACTGAAGATTGAGAATAACCTAATAATACATCAATTGCCCGATGCATGTATTTGTCAATTAGTTTTATCGGCTTCTCATCGGCCGGTGTTCAATTTGTTAGGTTTGCACTAGTTAGGCACTGATTAATTATGCTTTGCATATAAATAAAAAAGACGCAACAAAATCACAGCGTCGATCACCGGTCGAGTCCCATGATGATAAGAGTTGTTAAAAGAATTTTTCACGGCAATTGTAATTTCGAATATGCAACGGAGTTCCGCAGAATAACATCTTCCAGCGCACATCTAATCTTAATGAATGCCTTCTTGAATTCCAAACCGCAGCCTTTCGATAAGCGGAAGTCGACCAATATGTTTTTGTCCATGTCTATGAAATTCACTTTAAAAACAAGTGTCATTTTTCGCCGATCTATTGTCGATATCGTAACCTACGAATGTCGTTATATGCTGTTAAAATACCATCATCTATTATCGAAAGGATGAATTCATAACGAATAATATCGCAGCTTACCGTTCCGCAATCGTTAACACGATAAGAATAATTCTCCTTCTCACAGATTTTGATCAACCTCTTTATGACCTCGCCACATTCCGTTTTAACGAAGAATCTGGTCATTCGGCGGACCAATTTTTGGAGAGAATTTTGCTGTAGGACGAACGAAACGTGAAAAATTCATACACGTAAAAAGAAATCGACTCGGCAAAACATTACATTGTTCTAATGTGTATTTGATAATGGATGTGTTACCTGACTTGGCTGAGTTTGTTGCATAGCTTGTAACTGCGTACACAACAAAAGATCTTCCACATGTGCGGGCTGGGAAAACGAAAATGCCGGACGATCATCTAAATTGATTTGCATGACACTGTTGCTTTCCGTACCCGGCAATTCCGGTTGCGACAGGCAAACGTTTCTCAGATTTTCATCCTCCGTATATGTTGGATTTCGTCCGTCCGGTTCGTCCGCTGCAAATCGCGAACATTTGCATCAACATTTTCTAAACGTGGAAAACGCGACGAGATCGAAAAACCTTGCAGAGCATTATTCATAGCTGCTATAGTCAATCTACAATAAATTATTTTGTTATTTTATGTTTAAGGAAGTTATAAGGCGTAGTGTCGTATTTTCAATAGCATATCAAGAGGCCACTCATAAATTTAGTATTTATTGAGCAAAATTACGTTTCTATACGTTTATTTCACTATAATAAATAATAAATTTCATAATAATAATAAATCTTAATTTAAAACAGACGAAGTTGAAATAAATATATAGGATATTCTTGACGATATCAGTAAATAGATCTTTTTAAATTCCCAATTTTTATATGAAACATTTTTCTTTAAAATGCATTGTTCAAGATTTGAAATCGTCATTTAAAATAAGACACCCCATATTAAAATATAAAAATAAATAAGACACCTTATATTAAAATATAAAATTTGTTCTCTTATTAATGTTATATTATTATGTTATAATGTTTTTTCTTATTAATATTATATTTATAGATCACAGTTGATCTAGTATAGATAATAGAAATATATAAATATTTAATGTGTATATGTATATGAATTTCAAACATTACCATAAATTATGAACCTTACATCGCTATATTTTCAAAACAAAATGGCTAATAATTTAATAATTCTGAAATTTGTGCATAATGTTTATATATTCTTTAATATCATAATATTTTTCACCAAAATCTTATTTTTAGTTAAGAAAGTTGTTTAGAAAGAAAATATTAAAAATAGAAATTAAAAGTAGCATGTTAACACATTACGGACCAGACATTTTATTGCTAACCGTATTCAGTAGTCGGGTATGTTTTCGCCTCTAACGACGCAATATGAAATACGAGATATCTCGTCATCCGGCCCTAACGACGAAATAGGAAAGACGAGATACCTCATCATCCGTCCGCAATGTGTTAACCTCAAGGAACATATACAAAAAAATTTCAATTATAGTTGCAAATATCACAGCTCTCGAATAGTCAATCTTTTCTTTTAATCGTAGGAGTTATTAAACAATATATATTTCAATGTATAGTGCAAGTCTCATTAAATTCTTACCAATCTTATTTCATCTTACAACCTCCTTAACCATTCACACATATCACAGACATACTTCTGGAAGTACACGCCAATGCGTTCTGCTTTGGTAATCTAGCTTTATGACGCTCGACTAAACTCATAGAGCTGTATTACCAAAGAAGAGGCAAAAGCTTCGAACAGACAGCAGCGTGGCGTCACTCGACATTCCTTTTCGCGACTAATCGACGCAAAAGCACTTACGAAGGAAAAGGAGCGACAAGAACGGGACTGTCGTATGCAGTATCCACTAAATTAGGTACCAAGTTGCTTTGAGCAATTTTATTGATGCTCAGAGTCACTCAGTACCTGACTAAGTAAACACTATACTGGCGTTTCCATTGGCGAGCGCGCCAAGGTCTTTCGTAGATGTCAATGAGAACGACCATACTTCTCTGCTAAAGCGGTGATAGTTGGTGGGATTACTAATGATAGACTGCTGCAAAACGCTCTCTTTTACCTCTGCTGAAACTTGCGACAAACCATCTGTGTTGTTTGATGTCCAGAATCTTGTATCGTATTGATGGCGAGTCCGCCAGGATTTTTCTGATTAATGACAACGACACATTGTCGAGTTTCTTCCACGGTGTCGACGACATGTACTTTCCGCTTTTCCACGCGACGTATTCGGGACATTCTGTCAAAGCTTCATCCCAAGGCAACTCTAGATTTCAGACAAGGACCAATTAAAAACTAGAGAATGCAAGCAAGCGAGACATTACACATTTCGCTAAACTGTACGACAGAAGTTATATTTGCTCATTCTATAACTGGCAATTGTGAATTCCAAATTTTAAAGAAATTAATCCATATATATTCGCGTTAACGCATTGATGTATTTCTCTTCTGAGATATGTGTAAGACAAAAACAAAAAAATTATAAACAAAGCTCTATGATCTTCGATCGAGAAAGGACAAAAAGTCTTATAAGAATTAGAAAAAATTTCAAAGTGACAAATGGCCTTCTTTATATATATATTTTGTGTATATTTAAGTAAAATTTACCTCCAGACAATAAAGCCACTAGGATAATTCCACAAGACCATATGTCCGCTGGTTCCGCCAAATAAGATCTTTCTAGTACCTCTGGTGCAACATAAGGTAATGTTCCGCATTTCTTTTCCAAACGACGCTCTTTACCCTGCAGACGGTATATCGTAGCTAATCCAAAGTCGCTTATCTTTAAATTGTCATTACCATCTAGAAGCAAGTTCTCCGGCTTGAGATCTCTATGCGCGACCCCTCGACCGTGTAGATACTCTACTCCAGAAATCAATTGCTTGAAATATCTTTGCGCTTGGTACCTTGGCATTCCTACGTCAGGTTCTGTAAAGAACATGACTTAACTCACACATATCTCCAAACATCCACATGATTACTTTGACTAAGTAAAATAAAGTAAAAAATATCAGTATACACACGATAGCTTCTTACATCAACAATTTTCATTATTAGAAAAAATATGTTCAAAATATTTCCTTATGCCCTTTGCCCAATATGTCCTTTGTTAGGAGAAAATATAAATATAGCAATTTTCTTCTTACCAATTCTGTCAAATAGTTCCCCACCTAAAGCATACTCCAAAAATATATATTCCATATTAGCCTCGCTGCGCTTTCCAAAATATTGTATGATATTAGGATTCGACAACATACGGTGGATAGCGGTCTCTTTGCGCACTGACTGCCTTGCATCTGGATGTTTCTCTATATCAATCATTTTCATAGCAACTGCTTCGCCAGTTGATTTGTTTATAACCAATTTGACCCTATAAATATTCAAGTTAATTATAATTAATCAACAATTAATCCTTTGTTCTTTATAACTGATAAATCTTCACAGAAAATTCTCTATTATCTGTAATAGATATATTATAAATGAGACAAATTTGCACATAAATAACGATTTTTAATTAATTTAATTAGTTTAATTCTATGCAATTGAATTTCATACTGACAACAACCGAGTACTTCGTAAAATGCATACCGAGAACAATAGAAAATCTTGGGAGCAGCCGCGAGATCAGTCGAAATAAGTTGTGTATGAAAGAGAAGAGCGTTGTCTAATAACAAAGAAGCAAACAGGGAAACATACTCGCCATAAGATCCTTCGCCGAGGGTATGGCCTAAGAACCAACCGTCCACGAACTCCGTCATTCCGGCATGCCTTTATTCCGACGCAGGAGTAGGAATTTTCGGCGCTTTGTCACGCCGCGTGAAGGCGAGGAAAATGACTGGCGATTCGCACGGTGAAGCGGAAAACAGCTTCCTTGAGTTGAGAGAATCAGAAAGCGCGCCGAGTTACGTCTCGCCGAACGAGGATACACGGATTCAGGGGGGTTCGCAACGGCCGGATAGGATTCAAGCACGTGGTTATAGCGATGGGTTACATGGAGAGAGAAAGAGAGAGAGAGAGAGAGAGAGGCCGATCGCGCGAATTCAACTAGAGCCGGCCGCGGATCATGTGAAAAAAACGTGAGACTGTGTGTTACCTCTCGCAATCTCGTGCAACCGCAGCGATCCTCGTCCAACATGAGAGACGCGACGGATGGTCATATGTTAACAATGAGATCGCGCTGACGAAACGATCGAAATCTCGTGCGACACATTTCTTTCGGGAACTACGAAAATTCAAGTGGCCATAGACTTCGCAAGAGAGGATGATGGGCAAGTTAAGTTGGCCAGTATGTTTCTTTTGTTGTGCATTACTGCACTTTCCAGTCTTCGAATTGAATGAGGAGAATATTTATTGAAAAACAAAATTTATAGCAATAATGATATTTTATTGAACGTTTAATTTACAATTGGTGCACGACCTAGAGGCTCGACAACAGCTTTACAACTGATATTATTTGATCCGTTCGTTTTAAACCAGCGGCACATGATGCTTGTTTTTGTGTTGATTTGCTTTTAGATAGAAATACTGCGTTCTGATTGGTGCATTTCCAAAAATGGATGACAATACAAACACAACACCAATCAAAACACAGTATTTTCATCCAGCTAACAATCCAGCATGAAACAAGCATCGCGTGCCGCTAGCTTTAACTGCATTGCTGAACTGGTGCAATAAATTAAAGCGAGACAAAATACACTTATCTCACTGTAACTTATTGCACCATTTCAGCAGTTAAAAAGAACAGACCACTTATCACACCTTTGACGAAATAAATCGAATATTTTTTATAAAGCCCGCGGCATATGTTGCGTTTTTGCCTATTAAATTACGTACAGGAATATACGCTGAAGTTAGAGTAGCATTTAATTGACCAGTCATGATAAGGAAATCTTTTCTTTCCTGATTGGTTATTTAAATTTTACTCCACCCTCAGGCTACCTCCTCATGCGGCGTAACTTGCGTAAACGTAACTTGCGTTAGCCAATCAAATTATCTTAATTACCATACGAAAATCTGCCTTGTTATTTGAAACATTTTACGCTATTACCGACATGCCAAATCCAATACTTCGCGTAAACTGGTAATCACGTAAACTGGTAATGCATGTGTTTAGTGACGTGTGTGTATTTGCAGACGATCATAGAGTTTTTCGGTTTTAGAAAAAATGGATCAAATTCGGGTAAAATAAATTCTTCCAAGAAATTTTAATAATTATTTATTTAGTTTAGCTACGCCAACACAAATATTGATAAAATTACACTTATTCGATGCGTTTTTGCACGAAACGAAAGAATTTTATAGAAAAAAGTGTCGCTCTGCCCCGCGAAACGAGTTATTAATTGTCAAAGTTGACGACTTGACAGGTTAGGAAACCTGTCATACCGACGAAACGTCGCGATATGAGCATGCTCCGTGGTATTAAATCATGATATTAAATAAATATAAGTATTAAATCTTCATCTTACTAAAGTGTGTGCGATGAGTCTATTTCATATTAAAATGGAAACAGTGAAAATTAGCAAAGTCCCCTACGCAAGGTATGTTAACTTATAATTTACTTATTTAAAATATTGTTATCTGAATTTATAATTACTCCATTATTTTTTATATTAGTTTCTATTTAACAGACATATCTTGCGTAAGAGTCTATAGGTCTATTCGTTTTCGCTGCACCGCTGAACTAGTGCAATAAGTGCTTGAAATGAGAAAACATATTGGTCTCGTTTCAACTTATTGCACTAGTTCAACGGTGCGGCGAAAACGAACAGATCTTATGCCAATCTTCACTGTTTCAATTTTAGTATAAGATAGGCCCATCACACATACTTTAGCAAGGCTAAAGATTTCAGTTTCAAGAACAAAATAAAAATTAAAGATATATTATATTTAAATGTAAAATATATTTAAGTATATAAAAATATATATAAATATATATAAAAAATATATAACATTGTATTGCATATAATTGCATAAAGGATTAACAGATTTTTAGATCCAGGTGTTTTAGCAAATACAATGTAATAAATGTGGTAATAATATATATATTGATAAAAAATAGTGATGTAGACAAAAACGTGTTTTCAAGCAGTACTAGTACTTGATTCCTCGCAGGATGTTTCTGGTTGATCTGTGGAGGACATTGGAGGATATATTTCGGCAATGATATTGAAGAAGATTTCTATGTACTCCAGTCAGCTATAGGTTCGTTTGAAGAAAAATTCAGACAAATATCCAAGGACGTTCTCAGATCTAGTTCCGTACCTTGGGATATTTTCCTGAATTTCTCTCCAAACATATTCTATATGCTGTGTACGTGCGCCTGTAAATTAAAAAAATTATATTACAATATTTTGTAATATACACACAATGGAATATTAATAATATAATTATGTATGGCAAAATTGAGCTATTTAAAAGAAACAGCTATTTCAAAACAACTATTTTAAAACAGCTACTTTAAATATTTCTTACCACTTTCAGGATCGACAAAGTTGTAGGAATTGTTTACCATCAAATGTTAGAAGCCTTTATTGTTCAAGCAATTATAAGACTTCCAACAATCTGACACGATAGTAGTTCCTGGCAAAATGCATTCCTTGATACATGCCAGAAGTGGTTTTTTTTTCCGATCCTATATTGGAACGATAAAAATCTTCTTCGGATCACGTTTGTATCCTCCAAAAATCCAATTTCCTTTGACAAGTCTTTCATGATTGTTTTTTTGTTTTCCAATTTTTGCTTCATCGATGATTTCTACTGTGTGTGTTCTGGGCCACCAAGCTTTTCGCTATGCTTTTCAACCCAGAACACACAGACGTAAGTAAAAATAATATTAACGTTATTTGATATATTATTATATTTTTTTTCTTAAGTACATACAATCTAAATAATAAGATATAATTACCTCTCTGCAAAAATTGAACCAGACAACAATCGTAATTGACGATACACCAATTTCATCTTGCGTGTCATTTTGACGTGGATGTTTTAACATTAGAAAACATGCAACAATCCTACAAATTATGTCTATGTCAAGATGACTTTGATAGAACCAAATACTTATTCTTGCATTTTTGTAAAAATCACATCGTATGGAAATACGTTTTTTATGTATATTTTTTATAACATATCTTTTCCAACATCGGAACGTTAGTACTTTTTTATCAATATTTATTACCACACTGACTACACTTAATTACATTCGTTAAAACACCATACTGAATCAAAAAATCTATTAATTCTTCTTTATTATATATCATCATCATCATTTCCTTCAATTCCTAGTGAAACATAGGGACTTCTCTCTCTTTACATATGCATGTGGTGCGCACCCAGATTGTACACATGCATATGGGACCTACAGTTTAACGCCTGTCCGAACGGCAGTTGGAGAGAAGTTTTCTTTGGCATGTGATTACTCTTGGTGGTTTGTCGGACGACCGAAGAGGAGCTACGAGCGTATGAAAATTTTTCTAGTTCTGCCGGGGATCGAGAACCCCGGGTCCTCTAGCATAGTAGATTGGTGCGCTATCTACCATGCCACGCTCGCGCTTCTTTATTATATGTAAGGTGTGCAAATTCTAATAGACCCAACATTTTTTTTTGCATACGACCTTATATATAACTTTTGTGTCTTTCTTTTGTTTCATTGTTTAAATTCCGTATACTTTTCCCATCATAGAGATATAAGAATAGAGGGAACAAGCCCGTAAGTGGAAGTGATAGAGGCAAAGAGAGAGATGGATGCCGAGTGTCCT